TAGTTGAAAAATATCCCTGGAGCCAGATTCAGGGTATTATTCAAATATATAAGGTTCAGACCTCATTTAAGGTTAATTTAAATAATCATTTTAATCGGTTAAAAAGTGATGGTGTTTATAAAATTTTGATTTGAAATAATAGGAAAGAACTTCGCAGTCTAAACACTAGTAAACATGCATCATTGGTAGCAAAAGCCTCCTCGACCGTCGATGTTTCCCGAGGCCACTTGTATTTAGTTCAAAGGTCAAATCTGCATTTGCAAACAAGCATATAAAATCTTGAAAATAGTGTTTACAAGCATTCCTGTTATCAATCATTGAATAAAAAAATGATAACCACCCCTGCTTTTTTGACCTGATCAAATTATCTAACCTAATCAAATCATCTAACCTGCAGTAACTGTAAATCTTGAAGGTCCGAACCTTATGTAAATAATACCCAGTATTGGGTGGCCATGTAACAGAAAATAAAGTAAAATCTCAATATCTGGCCAGATATGATATCCACTGCATCCCTAGTTATTTGTTATGTTTCTTTGTCTTGAAATGCCGAACGACTTTACTTGTTAATGGGAGAGTGTTGGTATGACTGTACACTCAGTATATTCGTATTCAACATACTTATTTAATATATGCACCATGTGTACACTTTTGAGGCCCCATTAGGGGGGGTTTGGGTATTCCGTATCCCTGTTATTTTTCGTTCAAATATCCCATAAAACTTTGTCCGAGTTTTGATAAGAGCACAAGTTATGACGTATTAAAATATAAATATTGTATATGAAATATATTCCCTTACCGCGCAGTAGCATAACTAGCATTGTCAGTCATACATCAGAAATGATTCCAGGTATGGTCTCCGCGACGTTCTTCCATATCTAGTCACAGTTGTTGTTTCAAGTGGGAGGGCAGGTGATATTTCTGTTGCTTCGGACGTTTCTGCTGCAGACACTTCATTTGCAAAAGTTTCTGCAGATTCCTGGCGTGTCATTTGATCACCAGTGTCCAGACAATCAATCACACAACTAAAATAGTTTCTTCTTCCATCACAACGATGTCTTCTTCTGCAAAACTGCTTTGAATTTCTCTCGAAACACCATTCAAATCAAGTAGATAAACGACATTTGCATACACAAAGTGGAATGGGAGCAAAAAATCCTGTCTGTATATGGCAACCTGTGCTCTTCTCTCGGAGGATTTAACATCTGCTGTACATCGGCCTAGATAAAATGGTGCTTGAGGCAGGTGAGTTGGCTGGAAACCAGGTTTGATTACAACAAAACAGTTTTTCATGAAGAGAAGTGGATTCTGAGCGTTTTGCAAACTCTGTTGCTCCTGCTCTGCTGTCATTTCTAATTGTAGAAAATTAACAGGGCGGGGTTGAGATGGCTTTGCTGCATAGCAGTTAATTGGTAAGGTTCCAGGATTGTCTTTCGTGCTTTTATTTCTAACAGTGACCTGACGAACACTTTGGCCAAATTCTGCACGCCACTTTCTCATTTCTGCCAATTGCGTCTTCGTAACGTGATTCCTTTCTGGTTTAGGCATCGTGGGTAGTTTTGAAAATGGAAGAAATCCGTTCTGCATGGGGTAATAAGAGGACGAACTCGTGTAATAATTAAAAGAGCATTTTGTATTTCTCTTTAAATGTTCTCGCACAGTTGATGACAGTCTGTACGCAAATTGTATTGCTAGAGGCATGTCATTGCCTTCCCGCATTTCGGCAAAAAGATTCTCGACAACGAGGATAGTTAATGACGATAAATCAAGGGAATCAAGATAGTTTGGTGAAACCTTTTTAATTAGTGCCACTATGTTTCTCACAGTTTTCAATGTAAGGTCAAGATCGCGCATTGTTTGTATAGAACAAACACCATCCGGCCCCTGCAAGCTTCTCTCTGTCGTTATAAACTCGCGTACTTCTCTTTCACATGTCTTAAAAAATGTGCATACATCTTCAAGTATTTTGGTTGCTTCTTCAGCACTGCACCTATGAATTTTATTGCGAGGTTCACCCCTTTTGTGGACACCAAATACCTTCAGGAAAGCGCTAAGTTTCTCTAAGTATTGCAGAAGACCGATTGGATGCGTGATCATCTTTACTTTCCCAACTGCTGTGTCGCACAAGAAAATGGTATTCATTTCAGTGCAACACGATGTTGGTTGACAATGCGTGGCGTTGGCACCATCAGCCTGTCCCTCTACTGTTCCACTGTTCTACTGTTAACATAGTCACTGTTGCCTTAATTTTAGACGCCTAACATTCCACAAATATCACTTTTAGCTAGGTCTTATGTAATGTTATGGCATATGTATACTATATATACTCTAGCATGGATTTAAACTTGACTGATGCTGAAAATAACAACTCAACAACAATAAGAACTCGAGACTTTATGGTATTTCACGAAAATTTTGGATAAAAACTGGTTGCTAAGGCGTTGCTAAGGTCAAAATACCATGGCTGCACCACTTCAAATGCACTTTTCACATATAAAGAATAAGAATTTCATAAAACTAACAACATATTCTGAAACTACAATTATAATTAAAATATCTAAAACACCCTTAAAAAATCGAAAAATAATTTTAAAATGAC